TTAATTACAAAAGTACAGGACTTTCCATATTGCTGGGCTCTGTTTACTTTCACATCCATACATTTCCTGAAACTGTGTTTGAGATGGTAGAAATTCAGTTGATCTGTGATGACATCATCACTCACTGAAACGTCTGCCTGTTACCATAGGCAGCCAACAGTTGGAGAATGAGCCTGGTTGTCTTCTTTGGAGGGGCACAGAGGACACGGGGTACCCTGTGGACTCCAACCCTCTCCCTCAGATGTGCAAACTCTGTGTCCAGTGTTGGGAGGTGAGCTGAGAGCTATGGTATCCCGAGAATTCCTGATGGTGGATCCTGCAGCAAGCTCCCCACCCCCACTACTGTAGACAGTCAGGGAACACTGGGGAGTCTCCCACATTGACCAAGATGGTGCAGGGGGAGGTTCTTACACTGAGCATACCAAAAGGTAGAAAGATGAATGGACAGGAAAAGAAGCCCACCTCTATAAGAAATGCAAGCTTGAGCAGGAAGTGGGGGAACAGTCTTTGAGATGGGAGTTCACCATTCTCCCAGGTCGAGGTACCTAAATAAACCTCTTTCCTTTTGCACCAGCACCTGTCTCACAAGTTTGGCTTTTGTTGTGGGAGGCAGCCAAACCCACTTGTTTTTGTTACAGTTTTCGGCAACTCAGTTGGAATACCATGAACCTTAGTAAGTCTCCAAGGACCTAGGTGAGGGTCTCCGCTGCCTGTGGCAGGCCTATCTCAAGAATGGGGCTGTGGGAACTTCCCAGCAGCTGCCAAGAGCTTTTCTTGCAGAATTTCTCTGCATTTTTTCTCAAGGCATCAGCTGCCTGAAATGCTCAGCTGGTGAAAGAAAATGGGTTTCTGGGGAGCAGACAGACTTCAAGACTGGGTAAGTTGAACCAGGGTACACACTAGGGATTCTATCCCTGCCACTTGGGCTTTGTGCAGCCTGGGCTCATGCCATTTGGGTCTGGTCAGGACTGCTTGCAGTATCAGTTGGTAGGAGATAAGATGCTAGGACTTGCTTGTGGGAGTGCATTTGGACTAAAGAAACTATGGATCCAAGTTTAGTTCATATGTTCCTACTTTGTCTGGGGTCTTTCTATGGTCATGATCTTGGGTTGGTGCTTTTGTGCCCTCAGGGGTTGTTCTGTTTCAACTCCTGAAAAGAGCCGACTGGGCCGAATTTTAGCAGATTGGTCCATATAAAGCTATGATCCAATGACTAAGAAGGAATTGGCTTTTTAAAAAGATTTATTATTTATTTATTTTTAGAGAGGGAAGGGAGGGAGAAAGAGAGAGAGAGAGAAACATCAATGTGCGGTTGCTGGGGGCCGTGGCCTGCAACCCAGGCATGTGCCCTGACTGGGAATCAAACCTGCGACGCTTTGGTTCACAGCCCGCGCTCAATCCACTGAGCTACGCCAGCCAGGGCAGGAATTGGCTTTTAATTGTAACACTGCTTGGCCTATGTATACTAGCAAGATAATTGGATAGAAAAAATCCTTCCCTCCTCTCCTACCCCTATAAGAACTGCAGGCTAGAGCAGGAAGCGGGGATGGTCTTTGAGTCAGGAGTCCAATGTTCACCCAGGTCGTGGCACCTGAATAAACCTCTTTCCTTTTGCACCAGCACCTGCCTCACGAATTTAGCTTTTGTTGCGGCAGGCAGCCGAACCTGCATTTTGGTTACATACTCACGTGGAAAAGTTATATACACCCCAGACTCCTTATTATGTTTTGTTCTTTTTTTATATTCTATCACAGTCCTTTCATTTATAAAGGTAGGTATCATTTGTTGCCCACCTTTCTCTTCCACAAAAATATAAGGACTAAAAGAACTTATATCATGCCAATATTTCCAAATCTGACAGTGCCTTGATTATCTGTGTTGAATGGCAAATGGTGACTTTAAAGTGCATGGTATGGGGGCTTGGGGGCGGAGGGATTGGGCAAAAAAAGAGAGAGAAAGAACTCATTGACACAGACAACAGTGTGGTGATTGTGGGCTATGAGCAGAGATGGAAAAGGATACGGGGGCAGGGGGCAGTAAATGGTAATGGAAAAAATAAAAGAAAGATAAAGTGCATGATATAATCAGGAATACCAAAAGGTTTGGTTGAAATAGTGTTCTTCTCTTTCTCCATTGCTAGGTTTGTGGTTTTTTAATTTAATCACAGAGGCCTTAGTTGAGTCATAAAAGAAATAGTAAATATACTGTGCACTGCACTTAGAAATAAATTTATATTTTTAACTGAGGTACTTTACAGTAAATGGTGTCTAATGTACCATAAAAAATACATCTGCATTTAAATAAGAAAAACAAAGCTGTTGCAGAAGACTAGTTAGTACCTGGCCTGAAACCTTCGCAAGAGCAAGTCCTATCTTGGAAGCTCTTGCCAAAGAGGAAAACATCACATACCACCTTCATCAAAGGTAATCAGTGACCAGGATGTACCAAAAATTATAATAGTATTTTATAACCATATCCCTAAAAATGATAAAAGATATAGTTCCAAATCATAATAATGACCAATATTCCCTCTTCATGCTAATATCACTGACTAGAGCTTCTTATGAATTAAGATTGGCTCCCCTATACTGTGTCTACCTTCCAGAAAACAAATATTATGAATGGTAATGACAGAATAAAGTTTACCTTTTCACAGTATTCAACACAGAAAATGTCTTGTTTCCTTGAATAGAAATTATAACCTCTTATACAATATTTGTTAGCATTCTACAGTTCAAGAAACAGTTAATAAAATGTTTGTACAAAATAACAAGAGAAATGTTTGACAAGAATGCGTACTTTTAATCACATGCCATCAAACATAAGTGAAAATACTTTGAGGGATTACATTGAGCTATAAGTAATGGAAAATACCCAGCATTCCTGACAGAAGGGAAGAGCTTATGGTCCTATTAAAACACCAGATCAAGCCAAACACTGCAAAATGCAGTAGAGAAAAAAACTCCTATGATTTTTTTCAATTTACAATTGTAGATGTCATGGTGAATGCAGAACACATGGCCACCAGCACTATTCACAGCATAGGCTGCTTCCTATACAGTGATCCCTCAACTACTGCGGGAGTTACATTCCAGAGACCCCCGCAATAGGTGAAAATCCGCAAAGTAGTGGCATTATATTTATTTTTATTTATATATATTTTAAGGCTTTATAAACCATTCCCATACTCCTATGAACCTTTCCCACACTCTTATAAACACTACATATGCTCTTAAACACTTTCTACACTCTTACACCTACATAATTTTAACAACATATAAAATTCTATATGGGTACAGTATACCGCAAAATCCCGAGATATAGCAAAAACTCCGTGATACAGAATTAGATATATATATATTTTTTAAAGACCCGCAATTCAGTGAAGCTGGAATAAGTGAACTGAAATATAGCAAGGGATGACTGTACATATTAGACTGTCTATGGACATAATCTAGAAGTGAGGGAAATCAGACAATTGTCTCGTGCATGACCTGGTGGACACAAGAGAAGTTACAGAAAAAGCCAAACTCTAATGGATCTTAGAAGTTAATCTTTTAAAAACACCAGTGGAGAGGCAACTATGCCTCTAAGAATATGGAAATCAAACAGATTGTAGCCACTTTGAGAATACTCTTAACCAGAAGGGCAAAGAGTCCAAAAAAATGAGCTGGAAGACGGTGTCCTTGAAGCCCCTGTATACTGGTCTCTCTCCCCGCATGGTGGATCCACAACGGAACTAATGCCGTCCTTCCATCTGCCGCCTGAATCTAATGCAGGTAAGGTATTGGTAAAGTCTAATTTGGAACCACAGAGAAAATGAGTTGTGGAAAATCTAGTTCCTAACATTACCTACAGGGAGATATCCTCAAATCTAGATTTTTTATCATATCACAGGTATCTCACCTAAAATCAAAATATATCCAACATGCATCTCAGGAAAAAAAATCCAAAAGTACAAGATTAAATATAAAAGTAATAAATATAAAAATATATTCTTTCATAATCTTGACATACATAAAAATGTACTCCAACTTTTTATTGGTAAGAAAGATCAGAAAAACCTTTTATTCCACAACCTTCTGAAAAGTTTTGTCAGTAAGAAAAGAGAACATATATAATGCACCAGAGATACACACAACATTCCACAAAGCCAGTAGGAAAATTCAAACGGCAAAGTCAAAAATAACAAACTGCCATTTTTCAATGTCCCCTTAGCACAAAACAAATAATACATTATAAAAATAAATGAATTGCATAGTAGAAATACACTTGAATTCAGACAACTTAAATCCAGTAGACTTCAAAAAGTAAATAGACATTATTAACATAATAAAAAATCACTACTTATTAATTTGTAATATTTTTAAAAGACAACTCCCAAAATTATATCACTACAATACTCACTTCTGAAAGTATTTACAACAGGTTTGGCCTGCATGGGTTCACTTATCAGCAGCAGTTCAAACCCTTGCTGTTAAAGCATAAAGTACAGTTTTCATTCGTGGTTGAGAAACCACATGGAGAAGTGGCTTAAATTATACAAAGACTTTTGACTATGTGGGCGATTGGTGCCTCTAGTCCCCACGTCGTTCAAGGGACAATACAGTAGAAATCCACATTCCAATAACATACTTAAAGAAACTTGGGAAATAATTATTTATCATTTTAATAACTCTTTCACCTTAGAGTCTTCTGGAACATTATATAGAAATTAATTTTCATCAGGCCTTATCAGGTTATTTGCATTTTCATTTCTTTCAGTGGGAGTTTTCACATGTGAAGATGTGGACAAACTGAAGTCTTTCCCACACTATTGATATTCACTAGGTTTTATTCAGTGAATCCTTTCACGCCTTCCTAAAGAGGAGTGATCTGATCGATAAAAACTTCCCAGGTTCTTCACATTTAAATGTTTCTTCTGTAGTGTGCACTCTCAAATGTAATTGAAGGGTTTTGTAACAAGTGAAGGCTTTCCCACATTCCTTACATTTAAAAGGCTACTCTCCAGTATGCTTTCTTTTGTGTACTTGTAAGGAACCAGAATTTCTGTAGGCTTTGCCACACTGCTTACATCCATAGGGTTTCTCTCTAGTGTGAATTCTTTCATGTCTTTGATACCAGCTAAGTTGAGTGAATGCTTTCCCACACTCCTTGCACTGAAAAGGAGTGTTTCCAGTGACCATTTTCATGTGTTCTTGAAGGGAGCTGAGGTAACTGTAGGCTTTACCACAATGTTTACATTGATAGGATTTCTGCCCTGTGTGGATCTCTGTGTGTTTTTGCAAGGACCTGTACTGTTTGAATGCTCTTTCACATTCCTTACATTTATAGGGTTTTTCTGCTATGTGCGTCATTCTGTGTGATTCTATGGAGCTGTAATATCTGAAGGCCTTCCCACATAACTTGCATGCATAGGGTTTCTCTTCAGTGTGACATTTTTCATGTCTTTGAAGACTTTTATAATTTCTAAGGACTTTCCCACAGTATTGACACCTACAGAGATTCTCGTCAGTGTGGCTTCTCTCACATGTCTGAAGAGAAGTTGAAGAACTAAAGGCTTTCCCACACACCTTACATCTGTAAGGAACCTCTCCAGTGTGTGTTACCGTGTGTCTTTGAAGGATTTTGAGCCACATGAAGGCTTTTCCACATTCCTCACATTTATACAGTTTCTCTCCATTGTGAGTTCCTTCATGTTTTTCAAAGCACTGAAGAGAATTAAAGGATCTTTCACATCTGTTACATTTATATGGCTTCTCTCCACATTTCTGATCCTCAGACAGCGTATCTCCAGTGTGACATCTGATTTGCCTATTATGGGATGGATGATCCATGAAGACTTCCCCATATGCTCTGTATTCATATGGTTTTCCACCAGGAAGAGATTTCTTGTTCAGATTTCTCTTGGAATAAGGGATTTGGAATAAAACTGACATTTTCTCCACATTGACTAACCTTTTCCCCTTCACAGATTTTCTTTAACACAAGAGTTCTGTAAAAACCAGGAAGCACATTATTAATGATTTTTATTAGTTCTTTTATATTTATTATTAAAATATTTGAATATATTTATGATTTATATTAAAAGTATAGGTTTTATGTTTTGCCTGAATTATTGGAAATTTAATATAATTAAGGTTCTGCAAGACAAGTTCCTCCTCGCTATTAATAAAACTGATATTTATATACAGGGTTTAAGAATGCTGATTTTTTGTGATCTATCTTGCAAATGCTGACTATTTATGACATATATAAAAATGCAATTCGGTGAAAATATTTTAAGAGGTCATACATTTAAAGTAGGCGTTGTTTTGCTTGCTTCTTTTTAAAATTTCATAGAGAACAGATTTCTCACCTGAAACACAGCTTTTTCTTATGAGGGAGACTAGCCTTTGTTTTGGCCCCTGGTTTTTGGACTGATTTTCTATGTCATGATCCTCCCACTTTTTACCTAAAAAATGCAGACCCAGAAAAATAATTACAAAATTTGGAAATTATAGAAAATTGAGTACATTCTACTTCTATGATGAGCTGTGGCTTTTTGCCACTGTCCTTCCTTTCCACATTACACATCTTAGAATACGTTGGTGGGTAAGAAACACCTGTCCTCCAGATGAGGAACTGAAGGTAACTTGTCATGCTTACCTATGAAGTCCAGGTTCCTGAAGGTTTCCCACATCACATCTCTGTAGAGCTTCTTCTGTGAAGGGGTTAGTAAAGCCCACTCCTCCAGGGTGAAAGTTATAGCCACATCATCAAGGACAAATGAGTCCTAAAACAGTTCAAATATATGTAGAGTAAAATGACAGCCCTGGACACCTATAACCCATTTAAGAGAAGGTTCCATATGATTCTGTCATCTCCAAACACTTATTCAATGACTAGACCATCAGAAACTTACTCTGTCCACACTTTCTCCCTCATTAATGTAACATCATCATAAACACATGGAAATTATTTACACATTTTTAATGTGATCTCATTACATTTTTATTTCTCAAACAGCAAAGTTCAGATCATGTTGGGAAATGACAGAAATGCTATATAAATAAACAAATACCTCCATTTTAATACCATCGATGCATTGTGAGAAAATTAATTTTCTTCTTTATTACTCACAGAAGGTCAAATTTGCATTCAATGAATAAAATTTGGTTAAGAAATAGAAGCTTTCTGGCCGTCAAATGTGATTTACATCACAGGCATGTGGTCTTTGGTAACCCAAGTTCTAACGAGGTGCAGCAGACCATATCTCCCTCAAGTCCTCGAGGACACTACAAGTTGTCAGATGCATCTGGCTGAATGGAAATATTCCATGGAGAAACAATTGCTTTTTCCTTGTGTAATATTTACCTCGGTTTTGGTTCTTCCTTTATGTTTCTCTATGCTTTGATGAGCTAAAATGTTCATCATGCCACTTAATGACAAAGAACCAATCTGAGAAATGTGTTGTTAGGCGAATCTGTCATTGCGGGGATGTGATACAGTGTGCACGCACACACTTAGAGCACATAGCCTACCACACACCAAGGACAGATGCTACAGCACATTATTCCCAGGCTGCAGACCTGTACAGCATGTTACTGTACTGAATACTGCAAGCAACTGCAACATAAATGTAAGTATTTGTGTATCTAGATAATACCTTTTCTTCTCCTGCCATTTCCTAGTTCCACTGCAAGGTACAAGGGCAGGATAATTTAACCCCTGGGCATAGAAGTCCCTCAGCCCATGACACTACAAGGGGTATGAAAAGATTTATTGCTTGCATAATCTAGGTCTCTGGGGAAAGTAAGCAGGCCCCTCAAACAGGCATGTAGTAGCTTAGAGAGCAAGGAAATGTACATGGACTTGTTTTATTAAACTTGGGGATAGGGGAGAGGGCTAGGATCAGAGTTCACACACAAGGGCTGAGCTTGGGTGTAGTCAATCTTTTCCTACCCCAAAGGACCAAGTACTAAGGCTTTCCTGACTCCTGGGATCAATGTGGAGACAATGGGAGGAAAGTTACAAAGTTTTAAAGCTGTCAGCAGCCAAACATCAATAATTAGAGTCAGAGACTTTACATTTCTGGATTGGAATTTAAGTAACTTATGTCATTCTACTTATACAGGAAAAAATTCCAGAAAGTTAAAATGAACTTCTGTTCTTAGCTCCACAATATAATTTACATAAAAAGGTACCTGATGTTTCAAAAATTGGGAAAGAGCAAATGAACCTGACATTTTAAAATATGGCCCAAATATTATGTTCTACACATGACCAATACTCAAATTTATCTCAGTGAAAAATAATGCAAAAACAACAAATAACCAAAAAGACATAAGGCAATATCCATAAACCCTAGGACAACCTTCTTTTAAAAAAAGTTTAAAAACACATAATAAGAATACTTTTTTAAAAAGAAAGACAAAATTAAATGAATCAGTGCAGTAGCAATCACTAAAATTTTCCTAAAATTAATAATGACACCAAACAGTAAATTCAAGAAGGCCACAGGACACTAAACATCACAAACAACAAAAGTGCTCACCCAAGTCTCATATTAAATTAGACAAAGATTAAAGACAAACAATGTGCATTGGGGGGAAAAAGCCAGAGGAAAAAATGCCTTACATATACAAAATATTAGAATTAAATCAAACTTTTCTTTGTAAATCATGCTAGCAATAGAATAAGATGACATATTTAAATTTTGAAAGAAAAAAACACTATGCTAGAGTTGTGTAAAGAAAAATTATCCTTGAAAAATAAATAAAAATAGCCATGGATGGTGTAGCTCAGTGGACTGAGCATGGCTACAAACCAAAATGTTGCTGGTTCAATTCCCCAGCCAGGGCACATGCCTGGGTTGCAAGCTGGAGCCCCAGTGGAGGCCACATGAGAGGCAACCACACATTGATATTTCTCTCCCTCTCTTCCTCCCTTCCTTCCCCTCCCTTTAAAAAATAAATAAATAAAATCTTAAAAAAAAAGAAAAATAAGGATATTATGAGATAAAAACTGAGGGAATTTGACATGAGTACACCTACATTAAAAGAAACATTCAAAAAGTTATCAGAAGAATATAAATAATAATACTTGGCAATTAAAAACAAATTAAGATTAAATATCTTTATTTAATCTTTTATTAAAAGATATCTTTTATTTAAAAAGATAAATATTTTATATTTTGTATCATCATATAACAGATGACACTTGGTTTAAAACAATGTAGACTTAAATTTAAAATAACAATAGAAGGTCAATTCTCTAAGGAGAAATAGCAATTCTTTTCTGTGTGCCTAACAATAAAGCAAAAAGCATGGGGCAAAAACAAACAGACAAAGGGTCAAGTACCTGCACAGTCATTGACTTCAGTAACCCCTTCCCATGAATTGTATTGTAACAGAAAGAACACCACCAGGACAGAGGTGCACTCAACCCCACCATGTAGCAAATGGATTTAATTGTAATCTATGTAAAATACTCATCCAACAAGAGAGGGGTACTCGTTCTTGAGTTCACCAAGCCAGAACAGATCATGAAACATAAAATACACCTTAACAAATCTGAAAGAATGCAAATCACACAAAATATGCTCTCATGTCACACAAGCATTACTCTAGAAATCAATAACAGGGTAGTGAGAAAATCCCCAAATGTATAGTCATTTTAAAAGATACTCCAGAATCTGGAGGAAGATGGCGGCTTTACTGTAGGCAGCATTTTTCTCGGCTTCTGTGAAGAGGGGGGAAACTCGCGGATTGGTGGAGAGGCAGAGCAAGTGGGCTGGGTTGCCGAATCACTTTTGAAAGCAGGACATCAGAAATTATTGCACTCACTGGAAAACCAGACGGTAAGAAGACGGCTACAGGACAAAAGGGGCCCAGGGATCAGCGCGGGGTCTGGGGGTGCGCAGACCCCAGGCCCGCCCGGTGCTCCAGGGTCTGCCCCAGGGATCCCGGGAGAGGGAAGTCGCTGCTCCCTCCCTCCCCCGAATACGGGGGTGAGCAACTCCAGGGGAGAACGGGTTGCTAGAAGGAACAGATTGGCCAGTTGGACTGAGAAAAAATCGCCCAGGGAATAGGAAATCCCGCCCAGAGGCCGAGAAGTGAGAGCCTCTAGCCAACAGGACCAGGGGCATCTCTAGCCCGGTGGAAGTGCAGAGCGGTAGAGAGCACAAGCCGGCCGTGCTCTGTTCGCGCCCCATAGGGAGGCAGGAATCGCGCGCTGCGATCCCAGGAGGGACGAGGGGCTGGGTGCGTTCCTTCAGTGGTGGCCCAGAGATTTCCAGCCAGCCTGACCAGGAGAGCCGGGAAAGGCGCCAACATTCCATCGGAGAGCCGTTCGGCAGGGAACACGGAGCTGGAAACGGCTGGGATCCCACACCTTCATCGGGAAGACTGACTCTCTCGCACCAGTGTTTTCGGGAGTGCCCCGGGTACCTGACAGACTTGCTGAGTTCTGGTTGTGAGACAGAGAAGCATTTCAAAGGCCCCTCAGCCAGCTGAAGCTAGCTAGCAAGATCAGAAAAACTGGTCTGGCCAGTTAGAAACCAACAAGAGGTTTTTTGTTTGTTTGTTTGTTTGTTTGTTTGTTTGTTTTTTGGTTTTGTTTGGTTTTTATTGGTTTCTCTGGCTGTTGTTGGTTGATTGATTTTATCTTGTGTTTTATGTGACTTTTTTTTCAATTCTCATTATTTTTATCTCGCAATCCCTTATGTTTCTCTTCCATTCAACCTAATATTATTCTTTCCACTCCAAATTTATCTTTCCTGCACCACATCTTCTGCTTTTCTTTCCTTTTGTTTTAATCTTGCAAGTTACTGTAAATTTGTATTATCTTTTTCTCACTTTTACGACATTTTTTATTTTAATAATATTTTCGTATTCTTTTTCTTTCTGTATAATCTTCTTTGCTTGGCTGGTTATACTGTCATTTGATAGGTTCCCCC